TGGAGGCCCCTAGGGCTCATAAATTTTGGCCCTCTTGGGGCCCTCCTCGAGCCGTCTTGGAGCCGTCTTGGGGCCATCTTGGAGCCCTCCTGAGGCCATATTGAGTCCCTGTTGTAGTTGTTTTGGGTGGGCATGAACCCGTCCCCGAAGGAGGGCCGAGGGGGGGGAGGGACGTTGGGGGACCGCCTCCAGGTCATCGAGACGTGGTTCGTGCGCCAGCTGGGCGCGCTGGAGCAAGGCGTGGCGTTGAGGGAGGATCTGTCCAGTCTTGGCGACAACTGTCAGAAGGTGTCCGTGTCGGGCGCACTGTGCTCAGCCGACGCGTCGGACGTGGCGGTCGTGGCCCAGCTGTTCCGTGGGGGGGGCGCTGCCAAACTTCGCGCAGAGGCCATGGGGAAGATCGTTGCCGCCCAGAAGGATGCCGCCAACACCACCCTCTTGCGCGTCCTGGCGGACTGCGAGAGCTGGCCGATGATCTCGGAGTGCGTCGAGGGCGACTGCGCCGACGGCGGTGTCGCGAAGCTCACCCGGGACGCCATCAAACCCCTCGCGGCACAGTTTGAAAGGATGATGCCAGGCCGACCAGCCACTTCGAACGAAATCACCGCTGCGACAGCGACGGCGGTCAAGGCATGCGAGATCATAAAGGGGGCTGGTCTTGAGGAAGAAGCCGAGGCATCGCTGCTCGAGCCCTCGAAGGCCGCCTACCTGGCGTTCACTGCGGCCACGGTCGAGCAGACAAGTGCTTGCTTGGGGCAGGCTTGCGAGATTCTGCTACCCCGTAGTGATGATGATGAGGTGGTGGGTCAGCGCGCGGCCCGCGCGGCCGTGTTGTGCAGCAGCGCCGACAAGCTGAGGTCGAAGCTCGAGGCGTTTAGCGCCATCCTGCCCACCCTCGAGCGTTTCAACGCGAAGAACGTCGACATCCTCAAGAAGGTCCGGGCATTGTCTGACGCGTGCCAGCTAATCAGCAACATTGCTCCGAAGTGGGGGCAGAAGAACATGGCCGTCATCATGCAGGACTACGTCGTGTTGAGCCGCCACATGGCCGCTGCCCAGGATATTATATCGGCTGAACTCGCCGACGCGGTCCAGAAGTTCAAGCAGGAGTACTGCGTCAAGGGGTACGGGGTCACCGAGTACACCGCGAAGATGAATGGTGTGAAGCAGGTGCTGGAGAGCGTGGTCAATAAGCTCGTGGTTGGCAAGGAGGACGGGCTGACCGCCGAGGGCGTCCCCTTGGCCATTCGCGCGGTGGAGACTGGAATTCATCAGGCGCTGCAGTACGTCCAGTTTGGGGACACGGCGAACGCCGACCAGGCGAACTTGGCGAAGGCCGGCATGCTCATCAAGGCTCTGAAGAGCGACGACGCTGTCAAGCTGCTCGCGGGTGGCGATGGCGACAGCCTGACGGCTTTGGACGAGCTCAAACTAGCAACGAACGATCTCGAGGGCTTGGCCGAGGCGCTCCGCTCGCTCGTGCCGGAGTGCGCCGACGCCGCCATGGGCAAGCTGAAGGGCGTCCGAGCGACGCTGGAGAAGATGGGCGTCCAGGTCAACCAGCAGGCGAAGGCAGAGGTCGAGGGACTCACTGCGAAGATTAAGTCTTTGCTTTTCGATCACAGCAAGCTCCCAGCGAGGGAGACTCAGTTCTTCAAGATGATGGACAGGAAGAAGCATGCCGACAGCCTCAAAACTGCTGTGTCGAAGGCCCTGCACGGGGGAGGAAGGGGGGGGAAGGTGAATGTGGGGGGAGGCAGGGGGAGGCGGATGTGGGACGAGGGGGAGGGGGCGGATGCGGCATGAGGGGGGGAGGACCTGGGTGTCTCGGGGGCCTCGCTAGTCCCCCCTCCTGCTCTTGTGCGCTTCCCCCCCCACCGCATCCTCCTCCCTGCTCCTTTGCGCCCTCTCTCATGCCTCATGCCCCTCCTAGCCTTTCCCCCCGCCCATCCCACTTGTTCCTCACCCTCCCGCGCCCCTCCGCGGAGGCGAAGACGCGCCTCGACGCCCTGGCCGCCACTGCCCCCGCGGACACCTTGGCCAGCCTTCGCGAAACGGCTGAGCAAGGAGTGCCGTGTGAGCACCTTGCTGTCTCTATCGTCGTTGTCGTCGTTATCGTCGTGGTCGTGGCGTCGTCGTCGTCCTCCTTATTGTCGCTGTCGCTCGCCCTCGTCTGTCGTCGCATCCGCCGTCCTCGTCGTCGTCGTCGCCGTCGCTGGCTTCCACCTCATCGTTGTCTTCCTCCACCTCCTTCATGTGCTCGACTTCACCCTCCATCTCGTTCCCGCCCCCTCTTCCATGCCTCCCGCGCCCTCGTCCTCCTCCTCCTCGATTCCGTCGCCTGGGACCCTTCTCCACGTCGCCCGCCCCCTCCGCCATCTCGGCCCTGCCCCCCGGCCAGGACGAATGCAGGCCACCATGTACGCCGTGATGAAGATCATTGCCATCCCCAACGTCCGCCACAAGGTCAGCGGCTCCCTCGCCCGGGGCGAGCTGCTGAAGATCTACGCGGACGCCCGGCTGCCGCTTGCTTTGTTTCGGGGGGCGCCAGCGATTCGAAGTGGATATTGGGGTGAGCGCGTGAGTGTTTTTTGTTTGGGGGGGGGGGGGGGGGGGGGGGGGGGGGGCCAAGGGCTCTGGGGGCCCTCCAGGGGGGCCCTCGGGGGCAGCTCATCGCCGCGATCATCTTGACGCATCCTGGGGCGGTTTTGGGAGCCTTCTGGGATGTGGCACGGCCGTGCCACATCTTCAAAAGGCTCCTGGGGGAGGTCTGGGGGGGGGGCCTTGGGGGCCTCTTGAGATGTGGCACGGGCTCTTCGACGAGATCCAGGCCACAATATCCAGGAAGCTCTTCGGCGAGATCCAGGCCAAAAATTCCAGGAAGCTCTTCGGCGTGATCCAGGCCAAAATCTCCAGGAAGCTCTTCAAAGATCCAGGCTAAAATATCCAGGAAGCTCTTTGGCGAGATCCAGGCCAAAATCCCCAGGAAGCTCTTCGGCGAGATCCAGGCCAAAATCTCCAGGAAGCTCTTCGACGAGATCCAGGCCAAAATCTCCAAGGAACTCTTCGGCGAGATCCAGGCCAAAATCTCCATGGCGCTCTTCGGCGTGATCCAGACCAAAATCTCCAGGAAGCTCTTCGGCGAGATCCAGGCCAAAATCTCCAGGAAGCTCTCCGACGAGATCCAGGCTAAAATATCCAGGAAGCTCTTTGGCGAGATCCAGGCCAAAATCTCCAGGAAGCTCTTCGGCGAGATCCAGGCCAAAATCTCTTGGAAGCTCTTCGACGAGATCCAGGCCAAAATTTCCAGAAAGCTCTTCGGCGTGATCCAGGCCAAAATCTCCAGGAAGCTCTTCGACGAGATCCAGGCTAAACTATCCAGGAAGCTCTTTGGCGTGATCCAGGCCAAAATCTCCAGGAAGCTCTTCGGCGAGATCCAGGCCAAAATCTCCAGGAAGCTCTTCGACGAGATCCAGGCCAAAATCTCCTAGGAACTCTTCGGCGAGATCCAGGCAAAAATCTCCATGGCGCTCTTCACCGAGATCCAGGCCAAAATCTCCATGGCGCTCTTCGCCGAGATCCAGGCCAAAATCTCCAAGGCGCTCTTCGCCGATATCCAGGCCAAAATCTCCATCCTCAGCTCTCGGCGTCAGTGGTAGTAGAGCTCTCTGGGGGTCCTCTTGGATCTTTCGCGGTGCCCTGCCAGGGGTTCAGGGATTTTTTGGAAGTCTGCTGAGAGTCACTCATTCAGGACCTCCCTTTGGTTTTCCTTGTCCGATCTGTCGTCTTCCCGGGGCCGACTCGAGCGCCTCGGGGCTCGGGGCGCGAGTGCCCCTCCTGATCTACGACGGAGGGCAGGAGGGGAGGAGGCATAGCAAACTAGACCGCTGGACCACCACACCTCGAAGCACATCACTGACCATACCACCAGACCAGCACACCGCGAGACCTCATGCCACCAGACCACCAGACCACCGCCACCGCACGGCGGGGCTGTCATCTCATCATCTTGATAACGATAGCCGGTAGCTCTTCTTGGCTCGAGGTCCAGACAGGTACGGCTTCAGCGCATTCTCGTCGCCATGCCAGCTGGCAAGTCAAAGGTCCCGTCCCTCACCGCTCGGAACGCAGTCTTGCGGAAGAACCTGAAGTTGGCCAACGCCAAGACGAAGAGGATGACCACCAGCATGAAACGGGTTTGCAGGCTCGCCGCGAAACATTACTTCGCCATGCAGAAGGTGGCTGGCAAGATGTTTACCAATGAGCTCAGTGGACGAAAAGGGCACCGCTGCAATCGCGAGGGGCGTCCTCCTCGTCGCCGCGGGCGGATTTCACTCGAAACGCGGCCAGGCCGTATCTGAGAGGGGCGGGGTGTTCTCACGTGTGCCATCCCAGGAGCAGGTGCAGAAATTGTTCAGCAAATCTGGACGCGGCGGCCCGCCTGGGGCCTGAGCCCAGCAGCCCGCCGCCCGGCGGCCCGCCGCTGGGTTTTTTTTTATGGCTTTGCCCATCGCGGGCGCCCAAGGCGCCTCCGCCCATCCAGAGGCGCGCGCGCTGTATTCCTGCTCGGGGATGTCAAAGTGCGCGCGCGTCCGAATAGGCTGGATCGTTCTGGGCGCCAGCGAGCTCGACTCGAACCCCGGGAGGAGCGCGGGCAGCGCTCTTGATCAGATGGTCGCCCCTGGCCGGCCGCGCGACGCATGCGCGGGGAAAATATCACATCCCAGCGAAAGGAACCACGTTGCCAGGGCTCTTACAAGTTGAACCAGCGAAGCAGAATCCCGAAGCTGAATGGGTGTTGCCATCAGGCGTCTTTCCTGGGGATGCGGCCGCTGAGAACGAGCCCAGGAGGGGAACGCTCCACCCCCCGCCTTTCTCCCGTCCCTTTCTGCTCCACCTTTGGCCGCCTCCCCCTGGTTCACCGCCCCCTCGTCCGCCTCTTCTTTCTCCGTGGCCTTGTTCGGCTCAAGCCTTCATCGTTTGCAAGGTGGCTAGTTGCAAGTGCCTTCAACCGTGGCGAGTTGCAAGCGCCGCCAGCGCTGGCATCCGATGAGTTTCAGTTCCCCTGCCGGCAACAAGAGGGCGGCGAGCCCGCCCGCGCCTTGTACGTCGACGAGAGCTCGCCGGGAGGAGGGCTTCAAGGCACGCGTAGTGCTAAAGTCGTGTCTTGCACCAGATGCATGTGACAGCATATTGAAGCGCCAGTGCAAGGTATTCCTGAGCAAGCTGACCGAGGACCAGTTCAAGCGTGTATGCATCAACCTGCAATACTATGGCAAGCCGATCACATTGGTGAGCATGTGCAGCGGCACGGACATACCCTTGGTCAACGCCTCAATTCTCACGGAGGTCCTCGGCGTCGGGCAGGTGAAGCAGCAGTTCTCGTGCGACAACGTCCCCCACAAGCAGCAGTTCATCCAGCACGTTGTCCACGAGGGCTATGCTGGGCATCCAGACGCATGCGTGTTCGAATGCATCACCAAACTCTCGGGCTGCGTGGCGAAGTGCACCGTTCACGAGGACCTGTGCCGCGTGGTCGGCGCCGTCATGGGCTCGTGCGGCTTCTCGTGCAAGAAGTTCAGCAAGGCAAACGTGGTTCACAGCACCCGGAGCGACTGGATGCAGGCCATGGAAGGTTTCACGGGCGTGACCTGCAAGGGCATGCTCGACTACTTGGAGGCGCACGCCCCCATGATCTTCGTGATCGAGAACGTGAAGGAGCTGATCACGAGCGATTCGGATAACGTGACGTGGCTCGCAGATTCCCTGCGGCAGGCTGGTTACGCTTTTGTTTACGACATTATCGACGCCCGCAACTGGGGCGTCCCACAGACGCGAGAGCGTTTCTACGGCGTCGCATTGCACGCTGAGGCCTTCGGTAAGACAGAGGAGGAGTTGGAGGAGCTCGGGTTGCAGGTCTTCCGCGTGATGCGCACCATGCAGACCGACGTGGCACAGGTGGGGGAGTTCTTGCTCCCCGATGACGACCCGTACCTCCGGGACGAGTTGGCCAGGCGCTTGGCAGCCAAGCACGAGCCGACCAGCAACAACGCCAAGAGCCAGGGGACTGGCTGGAAGAAGTTACACGCGACTGCGATGGAGAAGTTGGGCAAGCCATTCTCAAGCATCTACCCGCCCAAGGAGCAGGCAGCTTCGCCGTGGTTCGCCGCCCTGTCGGACCGCGAGGCGCAGTGCCTCGGTTACGAGATGCTGCGCTACCAGAGCAAGGATGGGAACATCGGGTGCGTAGACGTCGGCCAGACCATCGGCAGGGGCTCCGTCACCCCCGAGGGGCTGGTCCCCACGCTCTTGCCAGGCAGCCGGCTATGGCTCGTCGGTGGCGGGGTCGAGGGCTTGAACGAGGCCCCCCCTATGCCGCGCCTGATCACGGGCCTGGAGATGCTGCGCTTGTCGGGCTTCCCGACGGAGATCATCGGCGATGACGCCATGGACAAGATCAATAAGTGCGTGCCCGACAACCTCTACGCTGACCTGGCCGGCAACATGTTCGTGGCCCAGGTCGAGCTCGCCCTGAAGATAGCCATCCTCTCCGCGGTGGAGTTGCCGTGCCCCGGCTGCGGTTCCGACTGCGATGCCGAGGAGCAAGAGGAGTTCGACATGAGCCAGGTGGGGTCGCTGATGGACGGCCTGTGAGCGGAGGATTGGTGGTTAGAAGTCAGAGGGAGCTGAGCGCTCACGGGCGTGCGTCGCCCGCCTCGGTTGCGTTGGGAGTGGCGCGCGGCTCATCCGCACATCTTGCAGTCTGAGAGCAGGGGTCGATGGAGGAGGAGGAGCAGCAGTAGGCAGCACGAGCAAGGAGAGAAGCTGCAGGATAAGGATAAGGAACAGCAGAGAAGTTGGGAAAGATAAGGAACAGCAGAGAAGTTGCGGATAAGATGGAGGGCGCGGCGCCTGCGACCCACTTGCGACCCGCCCGCCTCGCCCCGCGCCCGCGGCCCATCGGCCTCGCCACTCGCCCGTTTTGGAGGGGCCCGAAAGCCCTTGGAGGGCCCCAGAGGGAGGAGGGAGGCGGGGGGAGGAGAGGGAGGGGGAGGAGGTGACCGTTCGGGCCCCTCACTCTGATGTGTCCCCGCTCCACGTGGCTCCGCCTGTCCCTGCTGCTGCTGCAGCTCCTCCTCCTCCCCCCCTCCTCCTCCTCCTCCTCCTCCTCCTCCTCCTCCTCCTCCGCCTCCCTCCTCCTCCTCCTCCTCCTCCTCCTCCTCCTCCTCCTCCTCCTCCTCATCCTCCCTTCTCGCTCCTCGTTCCTCCAGACCCCTCCTCCTGCCGTCTCCCTGCTACCGCTCCTGACCTCGCTTCCTGCCCCCCTCCTGACCCCTCCCCCTGCTCTTTGTTTTTTCTTGCTCCTCGCTCTTTCCTGGCCCCTCCTGCTGCTGCTCCTCCCCCTCCACGCCCCCGTCGCCCATCGCCGGCCCCCCCGCTGCCCCTCTCGCCCCGCCAGGAGCACATCAAGGAGAAGAAGGACATGACGGATCTGATGGGCGAGACCTTGCTCGGGAATCTCGCCCTCACCCTGCAGGTCGACAACGACAAGTTCGAGATCCCGGGGGTGGAGGTCAAGCCTGCGGAGGGAGGGGCGGCGGCGACCCCCAAGTTGCCCGCCAAGAGGCCCGCTCCCGGCGGGCAGCAGAGGGGCGTCAAGGCCAAGGCAGCCGCCTGAGGCTGAGGGGGCCTGAGCCCGAGGGGGCCAGCGAGTAGGGTTGGGGGTGCCCGGGACGTCTGGAGAACTGGATGGATGAGCGGGGGGGAACGGGAGGGGAGGGGCGGGAGGTCGGTGAGGATGGGGGAGGGGCAGGAGGAGGAGGACGAGGGGGAGGAGGAGGAGGAGGAGGAGGAGGAGGAGGAGGAGGAGGAGGAGGAGGAGGAGGAGGAGGGGAGGGCGAGGCAGGTGAGGAGGAGGTGGAGGAGGAGGCAGGGGAGGAAGGGCGTCCTGGGGCCTCCACTCGGGCTGACATGATGACACAAACAGTGGTGCGATTGTAGAGGGCCTCCTAGCTCTCTTGACTCCCTCGTCGTCTTGGAGCCCTCCCGAGGCTCTCGGATCCCCATGGGGGAGGGGGGGGAATGAGGAGGAGGAGGAGGAGGAGGAGGAGAGGGAGGAGGAGGAGGAGGAGGAGGAGGAGGAGGAGGAGGAGGAGGAGGAGGAGGAGGAGGAGGAGTGAGGGGAGGAAGAGGGGGAGGAGGAGGAGGAGGAGGAGGAGGAGGAGGAGGAGGAGGAGGAGGAGGAGGAGGAGGAGGAGGTGCCCGGGCACTCCACTTTTCGGTGGGCCGCGCGGGGGAGCGCGCCCAGCCGCGCAGGGGAGCGCGCCCAGGGTGGACCAGCGCGCCCCTGGACACGGGCGAGGCGTGCGAGCTGGAGGATTGAAAAATGGGCGTGGGCCAAGAGGTCGATCTCGCCGAGCCCCCCTCCGCCGAAGGGAGAGAGGAGGGGGGGGGCCCCCCGGGGCGGTCGACGACGACAACGACGACGACGAGGACGACGACGACGACGAGGGCGAGGTCGGCGACGACGAGGGCGACGACGACGGCGGCGGCCAGCGGCGGCGATGGCGACGCGCGGCGGCGGCGGCAGCGGCGACGACGACGATGTCACGCTCCACGGGCCCATGCGTCCTTGCTGGACTTCCAATAGCCACAGGATCGGCGTCAAAACTGGCCCAGAGCGGGCCGAATGAGCAAGGATGCATGGGCCCGTGGAGCGTGACATCGTCGTCGTCGCGGTAGCGGCAGTCGGGGTCGGCAGACGGGCTGGAGCCTCGGCGTCCTCTCTCAGGCCGAGGCGCGCCCGCGCGGTCCGCGCGGGAGGGGGGGGGGCAACGTCGGCAGATGAGAAAGGCAGTGCAGGAGGCAAAGAGGGAGGCCAAGGCCAAAGGGAGGATCGCAAATCTGGGCCGACGCTCGCGCGCAGTGGGTTGAACCCATCAGGCTGGGGGTTCAAGTATGATTGGGGGTGTAGGGGGAGGATAGGGGGTCGGGATGTATCCCCAGGCTGATTGGCGCAGCCCTCTGCGCGCGCGCGTCGGCCCAGCCCCCCCAGAGGTTTCAAGACGTTGCGCGGGTAGATCGTTCGCAGAATTCGAGCGGCTCAGTTCCCCATCGATCGGCGATCGATGGGGAACTGAGCGGCCGCCTCGGTGAATCAGCGCATGCTCGGCGATGGTTCTGACGGTTTTCGGGTTTTCTGGGAGACGTATGGGGGCATATCTCATGTATTGCATGTATATGTAACCATATATCTGAACACTGGAACTATGATGCGAATTATTGTGATAATATACAGCGCTATAATTGTTACCACAACTCATTAATATCATCACATATGTATTAAAAACCATCATAATTATATATTTGTCATTTCTGTATTACTAATATCATCATTATTATTAATACTAGCTTCATTGATATCCTCATTATATTTTACCACCATGTAATTATCATCCGTATATATATATATATATATATATATCGACGATTAATTATCTGAATTATTTCCTGCGATTATTTCTGTTCGTTTCCGGGGAGAGAAACGTGTGCTCAAGGTAGAAGCAGACTTAAACCCCGATAAATGATGATGATGATGATGCTGATGATGCTGATGGTGATGTTGATAGTGATGGTGATGGTGATGCTGATTATGATGATGATGAACATGAGGAGGAGGAGGAGGAGGAGGAGGAGGAGGAGGAGGAGGAGGAGGAGGAGGAGCAGGAGGCAGGCAAGGCTCCTCATACGTTGGCTCCCCGTGGAGAATCTGCGTGGCTTAGTATTTCCCGCAAGAGGGCTGTCCTCCACTCTTCTTCCACCCGTCTGAGGGCAGGGGGCATCTCGATCCTTACCCTTCGAAGTCCCTCGCCAGGTTCTTGTCCTATTCTTGCCTTCCTCTCCTCCTGTTCAGCAGCGGGGTCGCTGAGAAGACTGGCTCCCAGTTACAGTGTTCATCCAGTCGAGGCTCCTCAAGTACTTCGACGCCATCTCCACGATGGTGGCGCGGGTCTTGGTGGGGCCTTCGCTGATTGTCTGCATGCGGCTCATCAGCGACCATTTAGTGGTCCGGGGGGTGTGCTCAGGAGGAGGGAAGGAGGGAGAGCGAAGAGGAGAGCAGTGCGGGGGGAGGAGTGACCGAGGGGAACGGAGGGAGGAGGGAACAGGGAGGAGGGATGGCGTGAATGTGAGGAATGAGAGAGGTATCTCAAGAGAGGGAGGGGATGATTCTGGAGTATGGGTGAGGATGTGCGGAGCAAGAGGAAGAGAAGAAACGAATGGGGAGCAGAAGGAGGAGGAGGAGGAGGAGGAGGAGGAGGAGGAGGAGGAGGAGGAGGAGGAGGAGGACGAGAAGGCGACGAGACGAGACGAGCCCGTGGAATCCAAGTAAGGCAGCGGGACTGGCTTCTTGACGCAGGATCCTGGGGACTGGAAACCTCGAGCCCAGCGCTAAATTCTGGACTGGCAGAGCTGCAGCTCGCCCCCTTTCGGGCGAAGTACTGGCCAGGGCTGCACCCTCGGGACGCGCATCCCCGCGCACAGCTTGAGAATTAACAGAGGAAGGGAAAAAGAAGGCGGGGCCTCACGTCAAACGCATCCCCAACACGGGCCGCCGAAAAGGCGCGGGAGGCCCGCTTGCTTTTCAAACAAGCACTGGTTTTCCTGCAAGGCTTCACCAGCGAGTGGGTCCCTCCCGCTCCAACGACCACGACCACGGCTCGACCCGTTCCCCATCCATTTGCCGCTGCCTTGTCGAGGCAGCAATACTATCGGATGCCTGGCAACTCAGGCCGACTGCAAGACTGGACACTTCTCTCACCCCTCATCGCTTGATCAGCCATATCCCGAGATATCAGACCTCGTTCCGCCAGGGGAGATGAGTCGCTCGGAGTTCGTCCAGATCGCACGGCGTTCACGACCGCAGATCTTTTGCTTGTCTCCCTCTCTCTCTCTCCAGTGGGCCCCCGCGGCGCTGTTCCCAGCAGCCCCCCCCCACCGAGCTCGGTGCGCCGCGACACGATCGCCGCGTCCTGCGACCCAGTTGGGTGGTTCAGGTCTTGATACAGGAGGAGGAGGAGGAGGAGGAGGAGGAGGAGGAGGAGGAGGAGGAGGAGGAGGAGGAGGAGAGGGAGGGGAAGGAAGAGATGGAAGAGATGGAGGAAGAAGGAGAGGAAGAGTGGGAGATGGATAGGAGGGATGATAGGGGGAACCAGTGTGATGGCGGACCAGCGCCCCGCGCGCGGGGAACTCCCGGAGACTTTGCGGCGCTGCCGCGCCCGAGCAGCCGCGGGCCGAGGCCCTCCCCATCGCTCGGCTTCGCCGGCATATCTCGAGGCGGCAGTGCTTGACAGAGAGGCCGATCTCCGGCGGCGGAGCGCTGGCGATGGCAAGGATTCCTCCGACTCTCAATGCGTGAATTACCTACCCCGCTTTCGCTTCCAGGCAAAACCAAGTCATACCACGCGCCTCCTCGTCAAGCGGCCTGACCAGTACAGGCCGTAGTTTGGCCTCCGTTGGTATCTCTTGGAAGCGAGGGTGGTCAAAAGCGAGGTAGGTTTGTTTGCCCCCTAGACTCGGTCGGGCTCTCTGCCGTGTCTCGGCTGCAGGTCCCTTCGCGTGCTGCCCCGTGGCTGCGCAGGGCGCCGCGGCTCCCACGGCGTGCCGGCGCGGGTGCTCGCGCCCTCGCCGCGGAGCCTCTTCGCCGCCGGGTCCGTTGCTCTTGGCGTCGCACTCCTTGATGGGCCAGCCCCCCACCACCACCACCGGATGCAGAACAGGGGAGAACGGAGGATGGGGAGGTCCTCTTCCTCCTCCTCTTCCTCCTTTTCCTCCCTCCTCATCATCCCTCTCCTACCTGTGGTAGTGGTGGTGGCAACTCGGCCGTTCACTCCTGGCCCGCCACGGCCGTTGACGCTGGGAGCTCCTGGACCGCGCGCATCTTGTACGTCACGTAGGCGGCCGACGCGAGGTCGGCTGCGCAGCGCATGGTGGCCAGGAGAAGGCCGAGCGACGCGGTAGAGAAGCTTCGCTCCTCCCTTGGCGCCCCTGTGAGCGTCCGTCCTGGCCAACGCCTAGTACTGAAGGGTGGAGCAGGAGACACCTGCTCAGCGGGTTTCAGTTCGGTGATCGCGCAGCGCACACGGGGAGAATCAGGAGGACGGTGCATACGTTCCGGCCAGAGTCTCCGTCACGACGGCCCTTTCTCCCGAGATCCTGACCGCGGTCCTGACAATCGCGCCATCGTTGCTCCTCACCTGCCGAGTCCCGATCCCTGGTTTCCTGAGTTGAGATGCGTTAGCTCTTGGCAAGAGAGTGACGCCACCGGAGTGTTATATATATATATATATATATATGTATACACACATGTGTATGTTATATATATATATATATATACAAATCGATTCTTGCTTACTATATAAGGTTGCAAAGAGAGGTGGACAAACAGATAGATGGAGAGAGAGAGAGGAGAGGGAGGGAGGGAGGGACACATGGAGCGATAGAGAGAGAGAGAGAGAGAACGAGAGAAGGAAGGAATCGATGGAGGGAGGATCTGGGATCCTCACTCCGCTTCATTTCGACTACGAGGAGGAGGAGGACGTTGTGGTGGTGGGAGAGTGTCTGTTGAGGAGGAGGTTGACGACGAGCGAGGCTCAGAACGAGACGGATGCAGCGGAGGACGAGGACGAGGAGGATGGAGGGGAGGGGGGAAGGCAATGAGGAGGCAGGGCATCGTCCTGCTGTGCCTGTGTCATCCTTCTCCAGCTTGCTGTATCCGTGCCGTCAGCCGCGCGCGTCCAGGTCGATCACGGCGCGGCGATTGCTTCCGTCACCGAGATCTTAGCCAGCTTCGATCCGCGCGCTCGTCGTTTTCGTAGTCGTAGGACGAGCAGCTAGAGGAGCAGCCTGGGGAGCGGGAGGGGGATGATGAGAAGGGGCAAGACAGGTTGGATGCGGAGGATGCGGAGCGGGAATGACAGCAGGGCCCGTATCCTCTTGTACTGGTTGACCGAGCGGAGTCATCTCCTCGCAAAGGCACATCTCGCGCAGGACGGGGCGATGCGCGCATCGGAGGTTCGGGGCATTGAGGCTGAGGCCGAAGTGAAACGTGAGGTGCCCCAGCAGGGAGTCCGCGTCGCTTCGTGCGTGACGCGCGTGCGGGCGAGGCCAGGCGAAGCTGTGCGAGTTCCTGGCCTGGCTGGGGCCAGGCCCTGGCAGACACGAGCCGCCCACCCCATGTCGGGCCCGCGGCCCCCCGGTCGCTCCCCGGTTGCTTCGCCGGTTGACCTGGCGGCGGTTCTGAAGTTGTCCCGATAGTCGTCCTGCTGGTGGTCCCGATGGCTGTCCCGATGGTTGTGCAGCTGGTCGCCCTGATTGTTGTCCGGATGGTTTCGCCGATGATTGTCCCAATGGTTGTCCCGATGGTTTTCCCGATGGCTGTCCCGATGGGTCTTCCGAATTTGTTCCAGGTGGTTCTTCTGATGGCGGTGTCAACGGTTGTCCATAGGCATCGAATACGCCTACGACGAATCACCGCCGACCCCCCTGCCGCTAGATCTGTTCCAGCTTTACGGGTAGAAGCCCCGTTGACTGGGGGGCAGCAGCGGACGTTAACACATGAGAGCGCCGCTTTGTTTGTCGGGCAGCTTCGCACATCCCTGAAGTGCCGAGAGACGAAGCAACGTTGATGTACACTTCGTGCCTTCAGAGTTTCACGCGTGGCAGCACCGTGTGCACGCGCACCTCCGACGTGAAGCGCCTCATTTCTTGGGCCCAGCGCTCTGAACGGCTCCATGTCGCTGGTTCACAGTGTGCTTTGGACGGCCGAGGTCGTGGTGTCAGGTGGCTGCCTCTGTTGGTTCTGGAACGGCTCCCTGCTCGTCGGCGGCTCCGCCCTCGGGTGCCTCGAGAAGGGCTCCGAGCGCGCCCCCGCAGGTGGCCTCGCTTTGCTCTGCGCTGGCGTGCGGGAGAGAAGGCGAGGGGGGAGGGTGATGATGATGATGTTGCTGATGATGCCGATGATGATGATGCTGATAGTAGTGGTGATGATTATGATGATGACGGCGGTGATGACGATGCTGATGCTGATGGTGGTGGTGGGGTGGTGGGGTGGTGGTGCTGGTCATGTTGATTATGCTATTGATGATGATGATGTTGATGGTGCTGCCAATGATGATGCTGATGATGATGATGGTGATGCTCATACTGATGATGCTGACGATGATGATGATGATGATGATGATGATGATGATGATGATGATGATGATGAGTATGATGATGATGGTGTCGATGCTGATGATGATGCTGATGCTGGTAACGATGATGATGATGATGATGATGATGATGATGATGATGATGGTGTCGATGCTGGTAATGATGCTGATGCTTGTGATGATGGTGGTGGTTGTGATGATGATGCCGCTGATGATCATGATGATGTTCATGGTGACGTTGCCAATGTTGTTGCGACTCATGATGACAATGACGATCATGATGAAGATACTGATGGAGGCGATGATAATGATGACGATGATGATGATACTGTCAAAGATGGTGGTAATGCTGATCATGATGATGCTACTGAGTATGATGCTGGTGATGCTGATGATGATGATAGTGGTGGTGGTGGTGGAGATGATGTTGATGATGCTGCTGATGATGATGCTGTTGATGATGATGCTGCCGATGATGATTATAGTAATGTCGATCATGCTAATGATGCTGATGATTGTGATGATGAGGACGACGGCGACGACGGTGCTGATGATGCTGCTGACGGTTGTGGTGGTGTTGGTGGCGGTGGTGCTGTCAATCATGACGATGATAATAATGGTGATCATGATGACGATGATGATTATGATGATGGTGATGATGCTGATGGTAATGATGATGCTGATGTGGTTGATTGTGGTGATAATTATAATAGTGGTGACGTTGACTACGACGAGGATGGTGACGTTGATTTGGTGCTGCTGATGATGAGTGCCAGGATGATGTGTATGATGATGGTGATGATGATGCTGATGGTGATGATGATGCTGATGATGCTGATGCCGATGCTGGCGATTGTGATGGTGCTATGCCAAGGCTGAGGATACTGTTGATGATGAGAATGATGATGCTGATTATGGTGCAGATGACGGCGGCGATGATGTCGTGGTTGATTGTACCGATGATCCGGGCGATGCTGATGCACATGATGCAGTTGATGGTGTTGGTGCTGCTGGTAACTATGCGACGGATGATGCCGATGGTCAACGTTACGATGACGATGTTGCCGCTGCTGGTGATCTTGATGATGGTGATGGTGATGACGCTGGCAGTGATGCTGGTGATGCTGATAATGATTGTGATTGTAATGACGATGATGGTGCTACTGGTGACAATGATGATGCTATTGATGACGATGGTGGTGGTGGTGATGGCCATGATGTAGCTGATGATGATGATGCTGATGATGATGCTGCCAATGATAACTATGATGATGATATAAAGGTTGATCATTCTGATGATGATGCCTTTGATGATGACGATAATGACGACGATGATGGTTGTGGTGGTGATGATAATGATGATGCTAATGATGACGATGTTGATGATGATGATGATGATGATGATGATGATGATGATGATGATGATGATGCGTTAAATGTTAATGATGATGGTAATACTGATGACCATGCTGATGCTGCCGACGACGATGCTGATGATACTGATGCTGATGCTGGTGATTGTGATGGTAATGGTGCTAGTGATGACGCTGATTATGCTGATGGTGATGGTGATGCTGATGATGGTGGTGGTGGTGGTGCTGCTGATGATGATGGCGATGCTGATGGTTATGATGATGCTGATGACGATGACGACGATTGTGGTGGTGTTGATGCTGAAGTTGATGCTGATTATGTTGCTGACTAGCATGATATGATGGTGCTACTGATGATGCTGATAATGGCGCTGATGACGACGGCGATGATGTCGATGCTAAATTTACTGATTATACAGGTGATGCTGATGCGGATGATGCATTTTATGGTGTTAGTGCTGCTGATGGTGATGCTATGGATGATGCCGATGACAAACGTAATGATGATGGTGTTGATGATGATGGTGGTGGTGATGATGATGCTGGTGGTGATGATGGTGATGGTGATGGTGGTGCTGCTGGTAATGATGATACTGATGCTGATTACGATTGCAAGATGTTGATCATGTTGTCGGGGTTGATGGTGGTGCTGATGCTCTGAACAACGGCGACGTTGATGTTGCTGGTGATGATTGTGGTCGTGGTCATGATCTTGGAAATGAGGACGAGGTGGTGACTTTGGAGAGGGAGGACGACGCGGACATGTTTCGAGAGGAAGAGGGGGATACGCAGTGTGAGCTGTACGAGGCTGATCTGGAGGACGAGGAGGAGGAGGAGGAGGAGGAGTAGGCCACGGCGGAGGAGGAGGAGCATCAGGAGGGAGATGGGGCGGCGGACGGAGAGCATGGGAAGGGCGAGGGACAAGCGTTGGGGGGGAGGCGAAGGATGAGAGGGGGGGGATAAGGATGAGACTGAGGAGTCGGGGGGTGGAGGTGGAGGAAGGAGGTGGAGGAAGCGGATGAGAGGGGTAGAGGTGGAGGAGGTGGAGGAGGTGGAGGTGGAGGAGGAGGTGGAGGGGGGGACAAGGATAAGAGGGGTGGAGGTGGAGGAGGCTCAGGGTGGAGGAGGAGGAGGAGTTGGGCCGAGAAGGTTTCTTTCTCTCCTCGTGCTTCCCCCCCTCCTCTCCACCCCCTCCGAGACCGGGTCCTCTCGCGAGTTCTGTCTGCTGTTCGCAACCCTGGGGCATTCCGATGGTGGTTTCGCCGCCGCAGCCTGGTGAATTTTGCTGGTTGAGGAGGGAGACGTGCGCAGCTGACGCGATGGCTAAACACAGCCCCAGCTTTGGAGGAGTGCCCTTACCTCCACGAGGCCTCTGAAGAGGCTCGTGCTAGGAATCAGCGCTGTTGTGGCTGCGCTTCGACTGTAGAACAAGGGCGGGTGCTCCAGGGCTGTTCGGGAGGTCCTGAGACGTGCTGGAAGGTCTTCAGCACCCCCCCACCTTCATCCTGCTCCTGCTGTCGCTGCCCTTTCCTCCCCACTCCGTTCTCCTCATCGTTCCTCCGATCCGCTCCACCCTCCCGTCTGTTCCCTCTGCCTCGTTCTCCTCCTTATTCCTAGGCTTTCTTCCTGAGACGTGCTCTGTTTGCCGCCCTGCAAGCTTGGAATATCCTGCGGTTACAATGGCATGGCATCGCTCGGACGTGAGCGTTTGCTCGGCGAGGACCATCGAGGAGCATCCTGGGTCATCGACAAAAGACACGCACGACATCGAGAAATGTACGGGGAATAGACGTCCGAGCGATGGCAGGACGATTCAGGGCGGTTCGTTTGCACTGTCGTGGTGTTGATGGGCATTCTCTCCAAGTCCACAGTCCCAAAGCTTGTGTGCTTTCGGACATCTATCCTGGTGGATGGTGTGTTTTGTTTATGATTGAGATCGCGGTTCGAATTTCCCCCACCTTCCCGCCAGAGCGCCTGGATGGGAATGTCGCGCGTCAGCTAATGAGCGCACACGTCAGCATCATATTCGCAGGCCACAGATCCGACGACGCAACTGAGAATAATAATGATAATATCAAAAGTCTCGCCTTGAAGGCTGAGAGAAGGTCTGGCAGGTGGATTGCCGCAGGAGGCCCATCTGCACGCGTGTTCCGCTTGGCCGGCGCTCGCGTCGATGACGGGGATGAAGCAACAGTCATATACCATTCGTACAAAAAACGTTGCCCTTCGCTTCCAGGAGGGCACAGCAGATGACACATGACCGCGCCATGAGGAACCAGCACCCGTGCACACTCGAAGACATGCGATTTGCAATGTGCCTGCATGCCGAGAACGTGGCTAAAGGTTATGCTGGACGTAAGTTGCAGCACCTGGTGCGATGACAAGCGCTGAGCGCATGAAAGCGGGGTTCGTGAACTTCTCCGCCCCGGAAGCGGGCGAGACGGGTCAGGACCGCGTGACCCTGACGCAGCTCAGAACGAGGTATCACAGCGCTGCGAACAAGGGAGGTGCAGTCGGGGCCCTGAAGAAGGAACCCTTTTCGTTGGGAAGGGGCTCCGCGTTCCTTAAGTGTTTCACAGCTTGCCTCAGGCTTCCCTGATCTTTTCGACAGGAAATCGAAGGTTAACTTATGGAAAAAAGGGGCCTCGTTCCTTGTTTAGGGTTCCTTAGGTCAACGCCCCGACTGTATGGATCCTGTCATTGACCCCCGCTCTACCCCACCACCCGCACCTCCACCACCGCGCCGCGCTGGGCCTGCCATGGGCGCTGCCTCCTCGGGCGCCGCGTCAGCCGGCGTCCCTGCTCCTGGCGACGCAGGCTGGACCGGCGGGGCTGCGGCAGTTGCTACGCCGAGTGCGGCGGGAGTGCGGAGGCTGATTGCGCCGCCGCCCCGGCCGCGAGGCTCGCGACACATGACCGGCGAGCGCAGTCGGAGCGGTACTCGTAGGACGCTTGCAGAGGCGTTGCCACCTTGAGCGCTACCGCGACGACGCGCGCCGCTACTGGTCGTACCACCTGAACAAGTGGCTTTGCATCGACGAGCATGATTGCGAGTGCATTTTGGGTTGACGATATCACTGCGCGCACACGTGGAGAATGTGTCAATCATGCAAATTATGACCCAGCGATGTCGAAGAGTTTACGTATACTGTGACATTGATTGTCCGTTGAATGATTGCTGTCGGGATATATTATATATATGTAGTTCTCTAGTGTTACGGACAGGTTCTACCACTCTGTAAATTGGTTTTGTTGGCATCATGGGCATATGCGCACCCAGGCAGGTCGCCCGCTGCAAACTTTTGGCAACTTGGAACCGAGCCGGACATAATCTTACACTATCTTTGGTTCTATGTTATTGGGATGCCGACTGCCCGACGGAACGGTATATGCGAAGCGTACATCCCATGACCCATCTTTATGATAGTATCCAGTACGAACGGCGTTGGATACATTTCACAAGTATTTTGGGGCCTGGAGCCCCCCCGCGATTGAATGGCTTCCGCTCGCATCGTTTTGACCAGTCGCCGTCGCAACTTGGATTGCGTGCGTAATATTGAAGTTATTGTTGGGTCGCTTCGCGCCCGCATATTTCGATATAGTGTTTGTAGGGCCTTTCGTTGGGTTAATTTCATGTTGATCAGTTGCCGTCACAATTTTGATCACGCGTAGATTCGTTACTTCATGTTTTGGGTTGCCCCGCGCCCGTGTATTTCGATGTACACGAGATTCGACTGGGAAATGCGCCGTGCGCGCATGTTTGCAGGCAGGATTTTGCGTGCCCGTGGAGACACATGCGTCGCATGTACATTTGCAGCGCACTTAGCGCAGATGTGCGTTTTCTGCTCTATCTCCTCCTACCCTCCCAACCTTGCAGCCTGTGGAAACGGGGAGTCGGTGAGATGTGCCGAAACATTTTTTTGGGGTCGCCTTCGGCCCTCTCAAGGCGGGTCGGCTCTCTTAAGTACCCCGTGCTGCAAAGTTGGTCCAAACTTACATTCCCAGCCGAAGTGGGCCCTGTTTGGGGGTGCAGGGGCTGGAAAAAAAGGCGATTTGACATGTCCTCGCACCTCTGTTCCCGAGTCCCGCCTTTGTTTCCCGTGAGCCCGAGGCCAACGTGGAGCGGACGGGATTCGGGACGGGTGTGTGTGAATGTGTGTGTGTGTGTGTGTGTGTGTGAAGACCGATCATTTCCTTTTTCTATCCATCTTTCCTTCCACCCTGTCGGTTCAGGTACTGGACATTTTGATCGCCCTCTATCCGACGGGCGCGGGAATAACACATCTTTCATAGTTTCGCCTCATCGTCCTTTTCTTATGAACCGCGCGGTAGGTTCGACCCATCGGTCGCTAACTTCCCCCCACAGGTTCTGGGAGGGGGGTGCCTCGGGATCGCTTGCTGGCCGGCACGTGGTGGTCGCCCCGCGAGGCCGAACAATCTCGCAGGAAGGTGACGGAATGTGCCGGTTGGGCCATGGGACCACGTTTGATTCCAGGGCGCTCTCGGGGTTTCGCGGCGCGCGGGGGTGTTCAAGAACGCCTGGTAAATTCCCAGAATTCGTGGGTCTTCCGCTGGGTATTTCGCGCGGGTGTTTCCAGAGGCCCGTCTCGAAACGGTTTTTTCTTCGGGGGTAGCGCATGTTACCTGGAGGGGAACAGCGGGAGGTGGCGGTAATGGCGGCTGCGGCCCAGTAGCACCGTAAAGCGCTTGACTTGTGCAATACTTACCACGTGGCGCCTGCATGCAGGACGCTATGCACGGAGGTGTGCTGGGCCCTGGCAGTTCCACAAAGAGTCTGCGAGCACAGCGACATACCCTCGTGGGCCCGTGAGCGCCGCGCATGCTTGTCAACGGTTTTCGGGTGTCATCGTTTCTGGGGTGAGGTGGTGGGGGATGGGGGGGCGGCCTGGTGGACCCTGGAAGCGAGAGGGCTGTTTTTTCATTGGTCCTATTTTGCAGTTTGCTTGCCGGTTCCGTCGCGTTTGTTTTGCTATGTCCTTCCCCGTTTTTCTCGGTATCCGGTTTTGGTTCAATCCCGGAACCGTTTTTGTTGCCGTTGCCGGTCGCCACCGTGTACCGTTTTATTTTTCTTTGCTTTTTCGAAAACGGTGAACACGTCCCTGCCGCTTCTGGGGCCCATTGGGGGATGGCGGGGGGATAGTAGAAAACCCTCGGCCCCGAGCCCGTTCACGGTAGCCCGCGGGCTCGAGTGGGGTCGACGGCTTTGGAGCAAGGCACATTCAAATAGCCACGGCGCGGGGCTCGGGGATCAGCGCAGCGCCAGAAGAAGAAGAAGAAGAAGAAGAAGAAGAAAAACAACGGCTTCCAGGGCGCCTGCTCCAGGGCGCCTCGGCGGCCGACGTGCACGGTGTTGCGTCCAGCGCACGGCTGGGCCACGGGGAGCTCCTCCCGAAGGCCAGCGGTCTCGAATGTGTGTTTTGAGCCTTCTGCGGTGGCAGAGCATGGGAGCCTTCAGAGGTAGGTAGGCAAGGTTCTCCAGATTTCGTAATAAAGGGAGGGGGGTCTCATTTCGGGGGGGGTCTCTTCCAGGCTATCTTGTAGGGCCTGGGGGGGTCTGGGGACGATGTTTTGGAGGGTTCTTCCACGGGGGAGGTCTGAAATGGCTTGTCTTGGAGGGTCCAGACCCCCTCCCTTTTATTACGAAATCTGGAGTACCCATACCGCTGCCTTTCCCGCGTGCTCCCTTTTTGGGACTCTCGGGAGGCCCTTGTGCCTTTGGTCAGAAAGCACCCTGAGAGAGGTCCGGGGAGTACCGGTATGGGTACCAGTTGGGGTTTCCCCAAGCCTCGTATGATTTCGCAGTTCCGTTTCCAGAGTGTATGAGCGTGCGCTGGAATCTGGTATTTGATGACGGTTATTTGATTCAGCGTCGGTTAGCATCGGACGAGCGTCGATTAGCTTTGATTTGTGTGGATAAGCGCCGTTCACCGTCAATTCGCTAGAGCCAGCGAGATGGCATAGGATTTTGCGAGTAGATCCCTGTCGAGCCTGGTTGCAGGATGCACCTTGATTTTTGTTCGCCACGCCCCTCGGACATATATTCGGCGCCCAGACATGGATCCCAGTGGTTGCGCGTTGGTGGATCGTGTGGTGCCCATGGTGAGCAACGACAGCAATCAATCCTTAATTTCTGCCCTATGCGCGCGCTTGAAGACTTCTGTAGTGCTCACATTCGGAAGCTCACATGCGAAATGCTGTTTTGCAGATTTCTTCCATGCAGGCGCCTCGGAGCCCCCTCCACTGTGCCGTCATAGCGCCACACGCGCGGAGCCGAGTCCGAGTCTTGTTGACGTGAAAGCTTCAGTGATACCTTAGCGGTCGCGGTCGCCATTTGGAATTCCAAGTTAACATGCGTTTTCACATGTGCGCCACGTGGTGCAGAGTACGACGCGCGTGTGCGCGCGGGTGTCGAGTTCCATAGTGTGCACATGGGAAGAAGCGCAATATTGACCCGAGAACTACAGCGATCCCTTAGCGGTGATCGATGGGTTTTCGCTGTTGGTACTTTTTCACATGCCAGCCAGGCGGTGCAGCGCACGACGCGCGCGGATGAAGAGTTGTAGATATGGTGTTCACGTTTGGGAATTCGCCATGTTGGCCGAAGTTGGGGGAGGGGAGTGAGGGAAGAGGGGGGAGGAGGGAGGGAGGCGGGGGGAGGAGGAGGAGAAGGAGGGATGGAGAGCGTGTGGAGGAGGAGCCTCTTGGACTTCATCGTCGTCGTCGGCGCCCTGGTCGTCCAAACGAGCGACCGCGACGACGACGATGACGACGGCGTCGACGACGAAGACGACGACGGCGACGACGAGGACGACGACGATGATGACGACGAGGACGACGGCGAGGACGACGATCACGACGCTGCCGACGCTGGCTCGTACTGAAACAGTTTTCTGAATCGTCCTCCTTTCCGCGACGCCTCCCTTGCGTCGCCCTCGCGGAGGCGCGGGGGGACACAGGGGGAAGCGGTGGAATCGGAGGATGGAGCAGGATGGAGGAGGATGGATGGGGATGGAGGACGACGCCCAGACGAGGGGGACTCGGGGGATGGAGGAGCATGGAGGACGGAGGAGGAAGAGTTGGGAGAGGGGAGGAGGGAGCAGGTAGACGGAAGGAGCAGGAGGAGGAGGGCGAGCAGAGGGGCCAGAGTCTTCTTGGACGCCTCTCGGAGTCTCTTCGGATGTCTTTCGAGAGTTTCTTGGAGTCCAGGAGTCCAGTTGGGGCGTCTTGGGGGTCCCTTGGCAGTGCTGGGGGCCCCTCGTGGACATCTTCGGTGCCTATTGGTGGTCTCCTGGGAGCCTCTTGGAGGCCTCTTGGGGGCCTCTTGGGGGCCTCTTGGGGCCCTTCTTGGGTAACCTTTGTGAGCCTCGGGTCCACTTTGTGGCCATCTAGGAGGAGATCGATCAAAGGAGGGGAGCTCCTTGATTAGAGTTCCCCCCCCAGGAGGCCAACATGTTGCCAAATCCATGGTAACATCAATGATTTGCCCTTCTCGCCGAGGCCATCTTGGACGCTCTAACCCCTCGCGGCCCCCCTCCCGTCCAGGTCCAGGTGTTGGGGGTATGGGGGAGGGGGAAAACCTCTCCCCGAAAGGAAAGAGGGAAGATGGAAGATGGAAGAGGAACCTTTCTAAACCACTCACGCCCTAAATGACTGGTGGGATTATGGGAACAACGGGGCCAGCGACACGATTTATGTTGAACGTCTCCTTTCAAATTATTTCTTACTCGTTCATCCACGTTGCAGTAGAAAAGTGTACGAACACACATGCATATTTACACGCATTGGTACTCATTTGCACGGATCCTCCTGCATTCCGATGGTATTGGCCTTCTTTCTGGCGGACTATCTCAAGCCTCATATTTTTCCCAATTCTCGCCGCCTTCCTGCTAGGAGAGCTGCAATCCCACCGCCTTGGAGTGCCGACTACCGCTGCCACCACGCGCGCCGGTTCAAGATGATTGTGAGTCCGACGAGGAGCACCGGGAGCGAATAAGTCTGATTTTTTTTGTTCACTGGCATCCGTTTATCCAATTGCATCCCGGGGACGTCTTCGAGCGTGCTCTGACCTCTGGCTCGGGCCGATTGGCTCGATCCAGCAGGGAATTCCGATGGCATCCATCCGAGATCAAGGAGTATGCTTCTTTGGACAGCCCACGTGCTGGACGTATATACTTGATGCTTCGGTGACATCCCAGGGTGCTTGGGAAGCGGCATCATTGGGCGTTCGATCGAGCTACAGTCGGGGCGCTGTGTGTGTACAGTCGGGGCGTTGACCAAAGGAACCCTAAATAAGGAACGAGGCCCCTTTTTTCCATAAGTTACACTTCGATTTCCGATCGAAAACATGAGGAAAACCTGAGGCAAGCTGCGAAACACTTAAGGAACGCGGAGCCCCTCCCCAACGAAAAGGGTTCCTTCTTCGGGGCCCCGACTGTACTTCGACGCGCGCCGTCAAGGAGGATGCATCGTACCAGTATTAAGTCGGGCCTGTCCCTCTACGGGGGGAATGTCCAAAAATAGTCGGAAAGTAGTATGGGGACAATGTTGACATATTTTTGTTGACTACTTGAGGGCATGTTTGGAGTATGTTTCTTTATGTTTCGTCCAAAGTCCCCCTGCAGGGGGACAGGCCCGACCTAATACCAGTATGTCCGTTTGCTTCCCGTGTCCGGCCCCCGGGCTCCCGAGGCTCCGCGTTCCTTAAGTGTTTCGCAGCTTGCCTCAGGTTGTCCTTATGTTTTCGATAGGAAATCGAAGTTCAATTTATGGAAGAAAGGGGCCTCGTTCCTTATTTAGGGTTCCTTAGGTCAACGCCCCGACTGCATACCCTCCCGGGGGCAGGACGGCGAGTGGTGGTGGCAGCCCGAGCCGCCGGAGCTGGCCGTGCGGACGGTGCCGGCGGCAGAGGCCCCGCGCGATGCGGCCCCGCCGCCCCGATCGATCGGCCGGCAGCTGCCTGAAGTCGTCGGCGCGCCGAGGTCAGCCTTAAAATCAATAAAAAAAAATCGAACATTTGCTCAAAGATAGCTCAACACATCGTCCCCAGATTAAATTTTTCGTACTCTGTTGAATCTATTTCCTCCTGTAGAGGGACAGGCCCGACTTAAGTCTAGTCACTAGTCTGGAACAACGTGCGGCCTTGGGCCTCCCAGATCAGGATCGAGTAGATGGGGTCGGAGGATCGCGCCGCATCACTGGTGCCATCGGCGATGCGGCTCGATGTGGAGCCCGATATTCTCCACGCCGACGTCGCTGATGCATCGCCAACGTCGCCAGTGCATCGCCGATGCATTGCCGATGCTGCGCGATCCTCCGACCTCATCTGCTCGGACACCGTTCGGGAGGCATCTCGGTACAACAGAGGGAGCGGCCCTTCTCAGAAGGCTCAGGAGGCCTCCTGCCTTCTGAGATGCTCTCTCAGCCGTCCCGAATCCCCACCGCCTTCCCAGAAGGCCCGCTCCCTTCTCGCTTCCCCCTCCGGCGCGTCGCCAGGAGGAGGGAGAGGACGTAACCTCAAGGCCGCGCCGGAGGTTTCCGGGCTTCCGTGCTCCACGGGGGCCGTTTCGGGTGCCGGGGCCGTCGGGAAGCCAGGATTCGAGAGCGGATCTTCGTCGGCGGAGGAAGGGGGAGGAGGAGGAGGAGGAGGAGGAGGAGGAGGAGGAGGAGGAGGAGGAGGACCAGTGTAAACCCAAGAGGCGTCCGCGATGTTGGAATACACCCTCCCTCCAAGCACCCTCTTCACAGGCCCCTCCAACGGTTGATGTTTACTGAGGGAATTGCCTCGTTGGCAGACAACTGTTTGCAGACCCTGAAGCATGCCAAAACATTGGTCTCGGGATTCCAACGCCACGGATCAACCTGACTGTTGCGTCTTGACGATCCTGCATCGCGTCAGAAAGCCATTCCTGGGACTTGAACACCGCGAATCAACATACTTTGTGCACCCTCCTAAGATTGAATCCTTCCAAAACGGCATTTCTGGTACGTTGATCATGGGAGTCCGTGGAACTCTTGCAACTGCTCAAAAGGAATATGGTATTATCTCTGGCGAGAGCCACATCTTGAAAAGGAGGCGCCCTCAATCCGTGAAGCTCTTGCAATGTTTTGAGGCAAGTGTGCGCGGCGCTACGGCGAGAGCCACATTTTGAACACGCCTCGCTTTCAATCAGTGAAGCTCTTGCACATTTTCGAGACGAGTGTACGCGGCGTTGAGGCGAGAGCCACATTTTGAAAACCACCCGCCCTCCATCTGTGAAACTGTTGTCAACTTTAAAGCTTCAGATTCATAAATGGTGCGGAAGTCTCACGCGAAACGCCCGGCCCGCCCTAAAGACTGGCGTCGGGATGTGACAGGTAGAAGTTATTTGTAAGGAGGAGGAATGGAGGAGGAGGAAGGAGGAGGAAGAGGAGGAGAAAAGAGGAGGAGGAGGAGAAGAACTGAGAAGAAAGGGGCTGGCGAGCCTGCATGACGGAGGTCCTTTCTGCTCCCCTCGCTGGGCGTCTCAGGGAACATCGATGAGCCAATCGGAGCTTTCGGTTGGGACGGTCTCTCGCCAGGCGTGCAACGGCCTGGCATGCAGTGGTTCGGCAGGTCAGGGATTTGGTGCTCCATATAGGTCAGCGTGGAGGGTTCCAAGCCCAGCTCAGCTAGAACCACCCGAGGTCCCCCCACAGGGGCTCGAATATGACCAAGCTTTTCGCAGCTCGGAGCTCGAAGTTGGCAAACTTCCACGAGAAGAATGGCGTGTGTCCCCTGTCCTGGTGGCCCTGTGCCAAAGTACCACACGTGTACATTCTCATGATTTCCAACAGCGTCGCCAACGGGACAGGGATCTGTCGCACAGGGTCCGCCCGAACTCCTGAGGGCGCTTGATTATTGACGCTTCCTCTTCATCCCATAAGCGTTGCCCAGGCGTGCGTTGGGGAGAAGGGAAGCACACACGCATATATACATAAATAAGCATATAGGCATGACTGTTGTGAAACAAAGAGGCCGACAGCAGTGACCTTGGAGACCGGCCTCTTGGAGCTCTCCTGCTCGCTCTGGGGAACCGATGTGGTCTTCTTGGGGCTATCTTGGGGCCTTCATGTGGGCCGTTCTCGGGCCATCGTGGGAGCCATTTCGAGGCCTCAGCGGCCCATCTGAATCGAACATGCAACAGGGCAACACATGCTATACTACAACATGTTGTCCTATCGGGGGTATCCTCGGGAGGTTCTAAGGCAACCTGAAGCCATCTTGGGGCGGTCTTGTGGCCCCGTGGGGTGGCGTGTTGGGATTCATCTCGAGCCACATTGGAGGTCATCTTGGGCTTTCCGATGCGCTCTTAGAGCTATCTCAGGCACTCTGACCCCTCGCGGGGGGCCTTCCGTCCAGACCCAGGGCGGGGGGGAGGAGAAGGGCAAACCCCTGCCCGAAGGAGGACGAGGGGGGTTCGAAGAGGAACCGCCCTAACTCACTTACTCAGGAGGAAAAGAAACACACAGACACAATTAATCCTCGATTCCCCAGAAAATATGGGAAACTATGGGGAGTGGGGGGGAATGCAGAAACCCAGAAAATATGGGAAATATGGGGCATATTTCTATGTGTGTTTTTATTTGTGTGTCCCAGGGCCCCTTCACTCATGCCCAGAGGGCTGGTGGGGCTTCTGTCGCATGATCACACGCTCGCAGGCGCCACCAATACAGCCCACGAGACTCTGTCGGGTTCCAGCGGGAAGTCCCCGAGCCCGCGTGCTGCGAGCGCAGCCGAGCAACGACAGCACCGTGGCCTGCACTCCTGCCGCGTGGCGTGCTGGACACCTCCCGTGGCTGCCGCACATCGGCAGCGCGCCCCGCGGGGAGGGCGGGAGGGGGCGGGCCTTCCCAGAAGGCTCGGGGGGGCCTCCAGCATGCAAGGATAGGGGGCCACGTGCGAACCCTACCCCTACCCCCCACGATTTCTGAGGGGAAGGGTGGTGTTCACTTTGCTCGGGAGCTCCCGAACGAAGTGAACCCCACCCTCCCCCTCAGAAATCGTGGGGGGTAGGGGTAGGGTTCGCACGTGGCCCCCTAAAGGAGCTGCTCGATTCTGCTCCCAGGCCACGCAGGGTTTCTCGGAAGGTCGGCCCCCACCCGCTTCCCCGTCCTGGGGAGCCGCCGAAGGGAGGGAGAGGCAGTGACTGCCTCAGCCTTCTCCGACGCCCCGCCGCTCTGTGCGAGGGCCTGCCTCCCCTCACCTCCCCCCTCTGCACGCTGCCAGACGTAAGTTGCGCGATAAACAGACGCTGATGCACTCGCTGTTCTCCCTACCTCTCCCATCATGCTTTACCAGTGCTGCCTTGATCTTCCCAGGCGCATATATTGTGTACTGAGGTCATCATTCGAATGCCTGATCTCCACGGTCAAACTCTGACTCGTCAAACATGTCCCAGCAATGTTGTTGAAATACGTTCGTCAAGTCTATTTCCTTCACTCTGGCCACCGGCAGTATGTCCAGTTGTCTGTGGCAGCAAGTCCCACCACTGTGCCATTCCAGCATTCTGGGTGGCGACGGTTCGAGGGGTCACGTGAGGCCGTTACGTGTGTCGCCTGGTGTTTTCAGGGGTGGGAGCGCCATGATGAGGATTATGTTGTTGGTGATGGTGATATTTGGGATGATGCTGATGATGATGATGATGATGCTGATGATGATGATGATGATGATGATGCTGATGATGATGATGATGATGATGATGATGATGATGACGATGATGATGATGATGATGATGATGATGATGATGATGATGATGATGATGATGATGGTGATGGTGATGGTGATGGTGATGGTGATGGTGATGGTGATGGTGATGGTGATGACGATGATGCTGATGATGCTGGTGATGGTGATTGTGGTGGTGGTGTCGGTGGTGGTGATGATTACGAGGCAGATGAGGAGGAGGAGGAGGAGGAGGATGAGGATGAGGATGATGATGCTGATGCGCATGAGTATGATGGTGGTGGTGGTGATGACGATGCTGCTGCTGCTGCTGCTGATGATGTTGACGAGGAGGAGGAGGAGGAGGAGGAGGAGGAGGAGGAGGAGGAGGAGCAGGAGGAGGAGCAGGAGGAGGAGGAGCAGCAGCAGCAGCAGGAGTAGGAGGACGACGAGGAAGGCCGTCACGTGTGACACATCTCCCCTTCACTACTTACTTCGCCTTCATGGAACTTGTACGGACCCCTTGGGGGCTGGCCTGGCCTCCTGTGAGGCAGCCTTGGGAGTCCCCTGGGGGCCGTCTTGGGCCGTCGTGGGGCACCATTGCGCCGTCTTGGGGCTCTATGCGGCAGATTTGGGGCCCTCTTGGCCGTGTGGTGGGTGCCCAGGGGCCGTCATGGGACCGTTTTTTGGCAGGCGAGAGGCCATCTAAGGTCGTCTTGGGTCCCACGAGGGGCCCTCTTGGATACAGCTTGGGCCATCGTGGGACTTTTTGTTGGCCGTCTTGGGGCCCTCTTTGGAGCCTCTTGGGCCGTCCTGGGACCACCGTGGATGCTTCCTGTGCTTTCCTAGAGCCCACAAAGGCGAGCACGCGACAGTCATTCAAACACCTACGGGAGATCAATGATTTTGGTTGCTTTGGACCCTGTTTGTCTTCTTATGGTCCTTGGGGTTCCTTTCGGATGCATCTTGGGCTGTCTTGATGCCATATTGTGCCGCCTTGGGGCCATTTTGGGCCGTCTTCAAGGCATCTTGGGCCATCTTGGTGTCATTGGTTGCCTGCGTGGGCCGTTTTAGAAACTCGGGACGGATATCGCGCTTTACGGGGGCTTGTAGCTTCTTGAGCAGGCTTGGGAGAGACCCCCAAGCCACCTTCCCGCGTGTTGTCGGGACGGTCTCGAACCCCCTCCCTCCGGTGGGTCCCGCCACGGTGGAGGGGGGTCCCTTCTGTCCTTTCAGGGACCCTCACCCCCTCCTCCGCCGCGGGCGGGGGCGGGGGTGGGAGCCTCGGGGGCCATTTCAGGGGCGGGAGGAGATCGATCAAAGGTGGGGAGCTCCCCAGAGAGGCTTCCCCCCCCAGGAGATCAAAGTGTGGCCAACACCTTCGTAACATCAGTGATTTGGGCTTCCTCGCCGAGGCCAAGAAAAGACCTTCTGACACCCCCCCGTCCAGACCCAGGGGGGGGGTAGGGGCAGAGGCCAAGCTACCCACCCGCCCGCAAGCCGTCTAGCTCACTCCCACCCGCCCTCCCAACACATTAGTAACACCCGAGCATGGGCATGTTCAGCGGTCGTCTCAGCCACGCGTGCCAGGGGCGCCACGCGCGCCAGGCACCCCTGGGGCCCGAGCGTGCCAGGCACGCCTGTTGCGCCAGATGCGCCACGTGCTCCGAGTGCGCCAGGTGTGCCGCACACTCCGGCCGCGCCAGGTGCGCCACGTTCGGGTCACGTGCAGAGTGCGTCAGGTGCGCCTGCGCACGTGACAGCACACATCGGGAAACATGTCGGCCTTCACCATCCTTGTCGAAAACCAATGCCCATCATTGTGTCTGGTGGGTCTGCGCACAGCAGGCCACGCGCCACCACCCCCGTCGTCCCTGTCTAAAACCACTTGACAGTGATCGTGGGGCGGCCGCGCATGATCCAGATTTAGCCGCGAGGTGCATTTTGTGTATTGTCTTGTTTACCAGGGATGGTAGCCCTGCTCACAGCAGGGAATCTGCTGACCCCCGCCGTCCCTGTCAAAAACGATACAAAGTGCTCGCGGGCCCCACGAACATGACTCAAGACTTTGCCCCAAAGTGTACTTTGTTTTGTTCTTTGACAGGGATTGTTGGGGGAGGGTGGCCGCATCGGTTTGGCCGCGCATGCTCCAAATGTGGAGGCAGAGTGCGTTTTGTATTAGTTTTTGAGAGGGACGGTGGGGTTGTGTGGTCCTCATATGGTTGGCATGGTTCCGGGTTGGCCGCCGGCCGGGTGGGGGAGGGGGTGTATATTAATAGGGAACAGTGATGAAGACACCTTCCCCGCCCGCACTTTGTCTCGGTCATTCCCACCCGCCCTCCCAACACATATGTAACACCCGAGCCTTGGCATGTTCAGCGGTCGTCCATGGATGGGCAGCTACAGCGAACCAAAGCAGACCTTGTGGGCGCAATGGGGCAAGGTGTGCCACGCGTGCCATGCGCTCCAGGTGCGCCAGTCGCACCTGGGGCCCAGGCGTGCCAGGCACGCCTCGCGCGCCAGATGCGTCACGTGCTCAACGTGCGCCATGTGCGCCGCATGGTCCAGTCGCGCGAAATGCGCTACGTCTGGGTCAAGCGCGGAGTGTGCCAGGCGCCCCCGCGCACGTGACAGCACACATCTGAAAACATGTCGGCCCCCACCATCTCCTTGTCGAAGACTAGTGCGCGATTGCGGCGGGGAGGCCATCATGGTGTCTGGCGGGCCTGCACACACGCACACAGCAGGCAATCTGCCAGCACCTCCGCGGCCTTTGCCGACCGCCAGTGGGCAGTGATCGCAGGGTGGCCGCTCGTGATCCAGATTCAGCCGCGACGTGCATGCTCCATTGTTTTTGACAAGGATGGTGGCTTAGCGCAACGCAGGCAACACGAGGGCACCCCCGCCGCCCCGGTCAACAAAAACAAGGCACAGTGCTCGCGGGCCCCCCGAACATGACCAAAGGTTGTACCCTAAAGCCTGGCATCGCTCGGACGCGTGCATTTTTCCTTCGGCGAGGACCGTCGAGGGTCGAGGAGCATCCTTGATCATCTGGCGAAAAAACCACGCACGACACCGAACAAAAACACAGGGAATGGACGTCCGAGCGATGGCCAGAAAGTGTGCTTCGTATTGTTTTTGACAGGGAGGGGGGGGGGCTGGCTTTGGTCCTGGCTGGCTGCCCGTCGGCCGGGGGAGGGGGTGTTTGTTATCCATGGCGCTGCGCTGTGGTCAGTCCCTCCCCGGGGGGGAAGATCAGGGGCAACGATAGTGGCGGGTGTGGGCATACGTAGGGGGGGGGGCGCATCGACACCCAATCGCCCACTGATCGCCGATAGGGGCCCAATAGCCCCAACCTGCCCAGGATTGTGCGGATTTACTATTGGGGGCCTATCGACGATCTATCGGCGAAGTATCGCCGACTCCAGGTCGATGCATCCCCCCTTATGCCAGTCCCCCCTGTCGTTGCCCCCCAGAAGAATGTGATCGGAAGAGGAAACTTTCTAAATCACTCACGCTTTAAAAGGCTGGTGGGATTCATGGTTGGCTGTCTTGGGCTTCAGTCTGTCCCGCCTTGTGCTCGCGTGCTCCCCGCGCGCACCGCGCGCGGTGTTGAGGTTGGAGTTGTGTTGGGTATCGTTTGGAGCGCCTCGAGGTTTCGTGGGGCGGCTTTCCGGTATGCCCATTGGAGTTCACGCTGTGGGGGCGTCCCATTTGCCCATTGGGATCCACTTTGGTCATGTCGGGGCTCTCCTGGGTGGTTCTGTGGTCTCAGCGTTGTTTGCTGAGTGCGGCCGAGCCATGGTCGATACGTTTTGGTTCCTGAGTGGGTGACGGGAACACCTCTTGGAAGCCTCGTGAGAGCTCATTCGTCGCTTCTTGGGGGCCTCTGTGGCTTCCTGAGGGCCTCCAAGAGGCCTCTCTGGGCCTCCCAGGGGCCCCGTTGGATGCTGGTGGCACCTTCGGGACATGTGGGCGCTATTTTGGACCCTCCTGGTGGCCTCCTGGGGGCCTCTTCGGAACTCTTTGTGGGACTCATGGCGGCTTATTGGAGGCCCCATGGACCTTGGATGTCCTTGTGGCCGCCGTCTTTGACGCTCTTAAGACCAGAGGCCGCGATGCAGAAGACGTGCAATGACCCAAAGGATTGTTACGATTTGGGTCTCTTCGTGTCCTCTCCACCCTTCCCTTCGGGCTCTCGTGGGCCGTCTAGAGGTCCATTTGGAGCATCGTGGCATCTTGAGCCGTCTTGGGTCGATGTTGTGCCGTCTTGGAGGCCTACTGTGGCCGTCTTTTGCGTTCTGGCTGTCTTGCCCGTCTTGAACTCTCAGGGCCCGTCTTGTAGCCCCACAAGGTTCCTGGATGAGCCTGGATCTTTTTGATGAAGCCCGGCACTTACGTTCTCCCGGCATCCCCAGACTGGAGTGAGCGCTGATCAGGCACTGCTGCGCGTGCAAGCAGATGCGCGCCGCATGAGCAGGTCGTGCGGAGTCGAATGGGTACCTCGTGCGCGGATGTGTGTTCGTCGATGTCAACGTGACAGCGTTTTTGGTAGAGGCAAAGGAAGCATTTGGGGCAGGCAGGGCTTGCTGGGGAGGGGTGCCCAGAACGGGCTGGTGTATAAGATGCATGTAGGGGTCTGTTGGCATGTCTGTCAGGGGCCTTTGGGATGCCTTCTTGTAGTCTCTTGGGGTCCCCGTGGGGCCTCACGAATCAGCGAGCGAAGAACGGTATAAAATAAACTTTTTCGCTGTCGGGGGCGCCTGTCCCTGGGCGGCTGGAAAGTTTATACCCCTACGGTGCCACCGTAAGGGTATAAACTTTCCAGCCGCCCTGGGGCAGGTGTCCTTGACGGCGAACAAGTTTATTTTATACCGTTCTTCGCCCGTTAAACGAGGGCCTGTTGGCTGGGGTCTCTTGGGGCTTCTTTTGTGCCTCGTGGGGCCCCTCTTGGGGGCCCCTTCGGGGCTCTTGGGGGGCACGTCAAGGACCCTGGGCACCATCTGCAGGGGAAGGGCTCCAAATGCGAGCTCGTGATCCCTCTTCTAAGCGAGCGAAGAACGGTATGAGATAAACTTTTTCGCTGTCGGGGGCGCCTGTCCCTGGGCGGCTGGAAAGTTTATACGCCTACGGTGCCACAGTAAGGGTATAAACTTTCCAGCCGCCCAGGGACAGGCGCCCCCTGACAGCGAAAAAGTTTATTATATACCGTTCTTCGCCCGTTAATCTTCAAGACCCCCCTGGGGGCTCATGTGGTCACCTCTTGGGGCCCTCTTGGAAGCGTCTTGGGCTGTCTTCGGGTCTCCTTGGGTCGCCTTGGGGCTTTCTTGGGGGCGTCTGGGGGTGCCCGTTGGGGTCCCACGGGCCGTCGTGCTGCGACGGGAAGCTGAACGGGGCGGAAACTCAAACACAAGAACACCAGAAGCCGGTGGAAACTACCAGAATCCTGCCCTTCGGGGATCCTGTTGGGGATCGCCTCTAGGTCTTCGAGGCCTCGCAGACCGTCTCGGAGGCGGGTTGGGCTGGTCGTTCTCTTTGGGGCTTCTTGGGGCCCTTGCACGGCCGTGGTGGGCCCTCTCGGGGCTCTCTTCTTGTTCGCCCCAGAGCCCTCCTGGAGCCCCAAGGGGAGCCTGGGGAGGGCCAGGCGCCCCTCTGATGAGTTCCATGGTGGTGTCGTGCAGAGCCGCGGATCAGATTTCCGGTTTGGGGTCCCTGGGGGGGGCCTGGAGACCCAGAACGTTGTCGGCGGATTCCGACCCACATGGGCTCTCTCCCCTCCCTCTTTCGCGACTTGCGCGACAGAGAAGGAAACGATCTTGAGTAAAATGCGCCGTGGCCACATCTTTCTGCAGCCTGCTTGTGCACGCCGACCAACTCGCCGTCACGGGAGGCTGCATACGTGCTGATGGCGCATGTGGAGGACCAGGGGAAGCAGCCTTTCTCATCTTTGTGCATCTGTCTTGGGGGAGGCACGAAGGGTTTCCGCTTGCGGCATCGATCCCCGCAATGAGGAGGGCGTGCGCACATGGAGGGCCGCTTGTTTGATCTAGAGCTCCTGCGAAGACTTATTCATGTGAGTTGTCACGGTGTGGGGTGGGTCACGGCGGGGACAAGGAGGATCACGGTGGTGCAGGAATTGGTTAAGTTCCACGCGACCGCGCACGCTGCACGCGGAATTTTTCGGCCCCCCATCGTCTCCCCAATTCGTTCCCCCACCCCCACGCCCCTTTTCCACCTCAGGGGCCCAAGAGATGGCCGACGCCTCCACCCCTAACTTCTTGTCGTCGTCGAATATAGACTGCCACTGGGCCTTGTTTTTTGTTCCCTGGACCGGATCTAACGCCGCTGGCCCTTCCGCGGGCTGCGCCAAGCAAGCAGCAGGAAGAGGGGGAAGGATGAGGAGGTGGCTTGGCATCGCTCCGACGTGTGTTTTTTGTTCCTTGGCGAGGACCGTCGAGGAGCATAATGGATCATCTTGCGAACAGATACACTCACGACCACGCGATGGCAAGGTGGAGGATGTGGAAGGGGAGTAGGATGAGTGAGTACGAGGGGGGTGACGTGAGTGAAGGAAACCGGAGGTGGGGTTCGGGGAGGGAGGAACGGAGGAGGGCCAGGAGGGGAAGGGCGGGGAAGAGGCGAGGTAGGAGACGTAGGACTGCAGTCATCGTGCTATCATGAGGAACGTAAAACAAGGAACGAAAAGGCTTTTCTGGCCACGGTGGGCTCAGACCACACACAGCTTCCAGGATCGCTTCGCTCATTCCGCCAGCCCATGTTGTCGCACTGCTGTCGATTGCCCGAGTGATCGTTGTCAATGCGGCGCTGCTTGGCGGGGGCTGCCTTCCTGAGGCGGTGCGTGGGGTGCGTTGGAGGTGACGCAGTGGCTGTGGAGTTGGTTTTGGGGGTTCGTCGCAGACTTCTGCGGTGTTGTCTGGGCAATCGTTTGTGGGGCAGGCTTGTTGGGGAATCTGGGGAGGCCTCGTGATGGCATTTTGGAGCCTCTTGGGATCTTGGGGCAGAAAGTTCGACATGTCCGTTCGGGGTTCGCAATCTCGGCCCTCTCTTGGAGCCGTCTTGGAGGCCTCTTGGCCCGTCCTGCAGGCGGCTTGCGCGGTCTTGGGGTTCTCTTGGGCCGTTTTGGGGCCGTCTTCAACAGCTCTTGAGTCGTCTTGGGGCGGTGCTGGGAGCGGTTTTGGCCGTCTGGGAGCGTCAGGAAGCTGAAATGGCGAGAACGCCGAAATCATTCAAAAATGAATGGAACATAAATAATGCTTGCCTCGTGTGGCCTTCTTTTGACGCCTCTTGGGGCGTGTTGGTGTCATCTTGGGAAGTCTTGAGTCCCTCTGGGGCCGTCTTGCATCGCTCTTGGCCTCAGGCCGTGGGGCCGGACACCCGTTCGGCGGCTCCAGTCGCTCCTGGATCGCTCTGGTGGCACCCGGGGCCGCGCCCAAGAGATCCGGCATCTCTGGCGGAACCCTGCCGGGGATCTGCCGGGACCGTCCCGGGGTGCTTTTCGCTCCGGGACCCCCAGGGGCCGCCACGCGCGCGCAAAGCAGAATATTTTTATGTTAACTTGTGACCAGAGATCTTAGCGCACGACTCTGGCCCGCTGGGCCAGCGAATTTCAGCGTCTTGACTGTAGTACAAGGGAGGAGGAGGTGGAGGAGGAGGAGGAGGAGGAGGAGCAGGAGGAGGAGGAGGAGGAGGAGGAGGAAGAGGAGGAGGAGGAG